ACTCTTTATTAAGATGCCTTTCCGCCTGTGGCACTGCCAATTCACTCCTGTCAAACCAGAATCACATTTAATGAGTGACTTCATATTGCTGATAGCCATTCCGACTTCCTTCTTATTTCCGTTGTAATTATGTTGCCATGAGCGTACCAAAGAGCTATTGAACTGTCAGCGAATAAGGCATGAAATGCCTACCTTAAGTTTATTAATACAAATGGATGCCATTCTCGGACAGAAAACAGCAATTGGATGGCATAGTTAATGTCGACCACAGTTCACATTTACAACACATTTTTTCACTTTTCAAGACAGCTTTAGGCTCCAAGCTCAACTATCGCCTTATTATTGAGGGGTTAAGTGTTCCATCCTTTTTATGATCTACAAACAACAAGCATTGGCTTGTAACGATTGATTTGATTGGACAGTGACCAAAACCTTATCATTTAAAAATGAAAAGATCGAAGAGGACATTAAGGCACTACAGGAGGCAAGAAAGGACGCAAAACAGATGAAATATCGACCTTCCACGTGTCCAGGACTCCTCCCCAGGTCCCGCAGTCTTCCACGCGAGCAGGTAGAGTTCAGCATACTTTTGCATATGCATTTTCAGAAAAATACAATTGAGCCGTATTTAAAATGCAACCCCATTCTCAGTGAATGTGCGACAATTCATTTATTTCTACCAATAAACAAGGAATTATACACCTATTTTGCGGTGTCCAATGGTGTGCTACAGCCATTCATACCATCGTTGCGTTTCTATGAGTACGAAGCTTAATTTTTAATTAGGTATTTAAATAGACACTCATTGAGTAAATTAACTGCTGAAAACAAGCCTCAATTGCAGCTCTCAGACACTGATGCATAGCTTGTTCCGTAAACTTCTCAGAAGAATGACAGAAGTTTGCACACCTTAAAGGTATGCTTCCACCAAATTGTTACTTGACGAATGAAACTTACTGCCTTTATTGAAATCCCTATTCTTTCATCGAAGGAAAGTAATTTTGCACTAGAAAAAACTTTAGAAACGCAGCAACTGGCACTAGCGATCCTCATGGCTCCTTTTTGATATGGTATCCAAATCCACAACACTTTTGTCTACATGTTTACCTAAATACACAGAAAAATTGTAATGCCTTGTTTTTGCTGAAAAAAGATTGTATCTGACATTTACGAACCCCATTACTCATATCTCCGACAACACAACCATCCCCCAACCTCGGTCTATTTTTCCACAATAAATTTCAAGCAATATCCGATAAAAAATTAGAACACTCAGCTATTTTTGTCATGTCCGCTACCTTTCGCGCAGTCACCTACAAAGCGTCAAAAGCGAAGTACGCCGACGACGGCAGAGTGATAAATTTAAACAAGGCATAGGTTTAAGCAAGTCTTTAAGGTTTAAAATATTGTGGGTCGTTATGCCATTGAATGCTATGTAGTAATTCTATTTCGTCTTGGTACCTAATTAATTGCCCTTATTAACTTTGAAAAGCTCATGACAGTTGTGGGTTCCTCCGTTGCATGCTTTTAATTACTGATTTTACTTAAGGTACCTAAAGCAGTAAGTATGCCTTGAAATTTTAACACCACACATTGTAATGATGTAGCATAAAAATGGGGCTGGATGAGGAAGCCATTTTACGATGGCAACAGTCACCGCCGTAATTGAGCTTGTGTGATCTGTTCTGACGTGCCTGCAGAAGCCCTTAGACAGGAAATGGAACACTTCCAATGAAGTCGCGAATTGGAAAGCAGTTTCCGGTAGATGGGTGCTTGCGAAGCCGGAAATCGCAACAAAACCATTCAGAGAAATTAGGCTGCGGTCATAGGCATCCTTTTAACCAACTGACAATCATGGGTGTCTATTCCAAACCCTTTTTCCCTTCAGTCATTCGAAGAATCCTTGGAGAACCAAAAATTGCGACTTGAGCGGGACGAGCTTAGAATGCTACTTACTCGATTTGAAAAACGCATTCAAGAGGTGTGTCTTCTCCACTTTTGTCCAATTGGTATCCTACTTCAATGCCTAATACTTCTTTTCCTACTTTAAATAGATCCAAGATAATGTGCAGACGTTGACCAAAGAACGCGATGATTTGCATAAATTGTATACTGATGTAAGCCTGGGAGGCGCTTTCTTCAAGCATCTATTTTTATTCATTTCAATAACGCATCCTAATTACTACCCCGATGCTGCATTGGTGACTGATATTTTAAATTTCACAAAGGTTCACAACACCGAAAGAGTGGCTATCGTGTGCTCAATCATGTACCTTCTTGCGTTGTTGCATGCACTAGGGCTAATTGGTGTCTCATTTCTGTTCCAAGGCTAAGAATGAAATTCATCGACTACACCACGACCTGTACGACGTGCAAAACGCATCAAACCGACGTGTGGTCGGTCAGGAGGTAGCCGCTCGTCTTCAAGCCGATCTTGAAAGAGCTCGACGCGAAATTGAACAACTCACGGCTGAAAAGGAAAGTCTAGCAGCCAAGTATAAGGTGAATTAAGAAGTGTTTCCATTAGCATTGTGATGATCGTTGTTGATTTTCCACTTATTTTTCCCTCCATCTATATGTTGTCATTTTCTTTATCAAGGA